GGGGGGGGGACAAACTAGTGCAATTATGCAACACATCGATGAACTAATGCATTCGCCTTTTATGCGTGACGGCAACATTTTGTATACCATTTTGAATGATGACTTTTCTTCGAATTGCAATTATTGCACTAACAAATGCTCAGGATGCACAAACTATGTATATATTTTGTGCATATATAGTTTATATACATACTGAGAATACCAAGCGTCCAGACTATTACTACAGCATCCCTCATTCGTGATTTATCTCGAGGACATCCGGAAGTTGGATACAGCTATGTCAGGCCTTTCAATTTTGGAATGAACAACTCCAATTAGTCATCGAATAAATGGCTCTTAAAAATGCAGGTTTACAAAGCTTTTCTTGAACATGCAGGATGAACTCTACTTTTGCCTCTTTAGAAAAGAGCTGAAAAAAAATCTCATTTTAGACTTATTTGAACAGCTCGTGGAAAGCAGCCTGAGAAGGTCACAGTTTCCACAAATACACCAACTAACCGGCTTAGACTGAATACTGGACGATGCAGCATTAGTTTAAAGAAACTGAAAACTTTATCAGCGACACTATGAACTATGACCGGAACGTCGAATTGTCGTCGAACCGGAGTTGTACACAAAATTTTCTACAATGATTAATACGTTGAAAAAACCCTATATAACTCGGCATTTTTTTTTTTAGTTAAAAATGGATGATTCACGCCCGCGGCGGCGATCGACGAAGGGTGAAGACGTTTTGAATTTGTTAGATGAAGCAGCAAAACGGCCAGGAACGGCGAAAGTAACATCAGCAAAAGCTCGTAGACGAAGCTTATCGACAAAGAGAAAGCAAGTTTAGTGTAAGCTCATGGAAAACAGTTGCTATGGCTTCGAGTGCCTAAGTGATCCAGAAATTTTGATTCGAAAAAAAACCCAGTTCGCAGGAAACCGGACTTTCATTCTAAGTAAACGAAGTTTTCCGGATCAGCATTTTGAAAATATTTTTGACTAACAATTCAAAATGTCCAGTGTGATGAATAAAATTTGGGGATTTCCCTAATCTAATGTAGTTACTGTCCAGAGATCGTTAATCTTAAACATCTTCTTCGTATATCGGTAAGATCTGGGGCACAATTGGTGCCGTTTTTTTCTGAATTTCGAACGGGTTCCACTGGTGCCCCGGCACTCAAAAATTTTCAGTAATAAATTAAAACCGTTAAAACCCCATTCGTGCTCTTACTTTACAATTAGCGGAAGCACCTAGAAGTTGTATCCAGTAATAAAACCAATTACTCGCTAGCCAAATCTACTGCTCTTTCTTTCGGACATCACTGCATGCAAGATAAGGAGGAAGGCAGGTCGACTACTTTTGCGTGTCAGTACCATACGAATGAACGAATCGTAAAGGTATTGGTTGTTAAATCAGTTAAGCCAAATCCTCGGACTTTGCAATAAACGATTCTTGATATTATATTAGACTTAGAAATTATGAACAGGATATGGAAGCATCTTTTTCTTAAAAAAATTCGAAAACCCCACGGTCAAAGGAAATACATACTCTTCGGCTACTTAACTGCCTTTCCCTCACTCAATGAGTCAGAATGTTGCACACTCATAAAAGCTGCATATATAAGGACTAATAGTTCGTCTTCAATCATTTCGAATTAAATTTTTAATCAACTCCTCGAAAGTGCGATGAAGCGGGAACTAATTAGCGCGCTGTCTGCAAACGTGGCCAAGTGCGATCTAGCCGGCTAATAAATTTATTAACTAGCACGAGGCTTTCGTTGCTTCCGCTTCTTCATCCTCCCCCTCGTCCTTCCTCCCTCTCCCGTTCTCCCCCTCCGTTTCTCCCCGCCTCTCCTTTATTAACTTGCGAAACTGGCAACACGAAACATAGTGCTAATTATAATGCATATCACTCAACCCTAAAAATATTTTAAAAAACTATCATGCCAAGTTAATTCCCTGTTCAGATGTCCTGCTAAATCTAAAAAATATTTAAAAAATTACGTCGGCAATATTCAGTATTCAGATATATTGCAAAATTACAAAAAGTCAAGATGTACAAAATAAACTGTAGAAAAGAAAGAATTTTCCGGAAAGAGGTTTTTGAATTATGCAAGAAAAAATTGAGGTAAAGGAAAGAGGTAAAGACGTTTCTTTTTGATAAAATACTCTGACAGCCTGTCCTTTTGTTAAGTATGTTTCAGAAAAATTAAGGTAATAGCCTGATAAGCAAGAAAAATTGATGTGGCTCCAAGCGGTTCATAGAAAAATAGAGCAATACCATTTCCTAGCCAAGCTTCCCCGTAGTACCAAGGAACGATGAATATTTTTGTTTTTGTGTTATCGTATTACGATCTTATGTTTCACGACTTTTGCTCTGCTAAAGTTGAAAAATGTCTAAAGCTTCTCACAATGACTTTCGTGTATCCGTATGCGAGATGCAGGCATAGAGATTAAATTTAAATTGCCAGGGTTGAGCACGAATGAGATACATTCTTTGCAATTTTCAACTGTTTGATTTGTGTGCTAGAAATTTCTTACACGAAGCACTGATTCATTTCAATTGACCCCATACCACGCGGAAGTATTTATATGGATGAAATAATCATCAACAGTATTTGTGTATTTGAGGGTGCGAATCCCTCCCTGTCCCAGCGGCTGATGATGGAAAGGCCACCGACCTCATCGCCTCCCACACACAGCTTCAGCTGGAAAGTAGCCACTTGAACCGGGAAAGTCCTTCACTTCTCTCAACGACATTGTTTCCCCTCTCGTTCAGTTTCGGTAAACACAGAGGATGACCACTGTCCATCTCTCCCTCATCTTGCCATGCCAAATTCAGTCCCTCGTTACAGTTTGTATACTTGAAAAGAGAGAGCAACGGCTAGTAGGAGAGGAGAAATAAATTTGAAGGATTAGGAAATTAAAGGATTAACAATCCGGAGCAGCAGCCTACAAACATTTGAAAATCTTAAGTACCATACTAATACTACCAGACGACGAGGGGATAAAGTCAACAGATGAATGAAAGAGGAGCAGCTTAACACTCTGCGCAAAGTAAATATCGACTGACTGTAACTTAAATATATAAATACTTGATTAGTATGGCAGACAGAATTAAGTTTTTTTCAACGAAATTTGTGCGGATAAATTAAAGGACTGAATAAAAGGGCTGTTTTTTGAAGAATAAAAAAAATTTTTTTGGACTCGGCGTGGATATCAGCCTTCGATTTCAGTTTTTAGGTATTATAAAACTCGAAAAATAAGTTTTTGATAAAGTCAATTGCTTGTAGTTTTCTGACCTCAAGTGCTTTTGCAAATTTATAAATAGGGTTTAAAGAAAAACGAAGACATGAAAGTTGATTTCAGGCTTCTGATGAGGAACGCAGATGAGTACAGTAGAGTCCTATTTTTCATGCTCCGGGAAGCAGGTGCAACTTTTTGAGTTCTATTTTAGGCATCCAATTGAAATCAAAACTTTACTCGTGGCTTTGTTCAAGATTTTTTAAGCTTCTGCAAATTTAGACTGGTCATGTAAGTTCTGACCAAAATACACTCCTTGAATAATTAAGTTTCTTGTAAGTCCCTTTTGGAAGGCCTAAAACCATGTTTTTGAAATGCAGAACTTCTTTTGAGCAACTCTTTTTTCCTTTAAATTCCTTCGGTTTTTTTTTACTAAACAGCAATTAAATCATTTGAAAAATGTCTAAAACTGTGTTCAGCTGACTAACCTTGAGCAAACATGTTCCCGGTGTGGCGTTCTCCTTAACGACCACATCGTATAGCGGTTTTCCAAAAATAGGTGGACGGTCGCTGGTGTCAATTATTCGAGCAACCACGTCAACTGTAGACGACAAAACTGGAAAACCGGAATCTTCAGCACGAACTCGAAAGCGGTGCTCCAGAAATATGCAGTCCGACTGCAACAATAGCAACTCCATTAAAAACAATGTGAAAAATTATAGGGAAAAACTCTGGAAAGTTTACAAGCTTGTCTTTGATTCATAGATAAAAAGCAACAAAACAAGCAAAAACAAACGCTTTCCCGAAGATTCAATATACCGGTATCAGGATCAATATCGAATAAGCTTGTACCCAAAATATTGTAATGTACTCGGGCATTTTCGCCGCTATCCGGATCTACTGCCTGAATCCGTACCATTTCAGAGTTCTCATTGGACCGGTTGAATATTACCCATATCAACGGTTGTTCGAACTGCGGTGCATTGTCATTAACGTCAAGCACCTGAATTTCGTAAATTTATTAGTAACACGAATTCCGAGAACTTGTTGTCATAGCCCACCGTGCAGCGTTCATTTAGATGTCTGAAATACCGAAGTGAAAAATGAAGAGTTAATTTTGATGACAATTTTTATACTACTTGGAAAGTGTACCCCATTCCATTTGGATAAGAAACCCGGGGGAAAAGTCACCCAGTGCTATCACTCAGATTTTTATTCTCTATAAGTGGTAAAATGAAAACGAAGAGTTGAGTTAGAAGATTTTGCCCCGAACTAAGAAATTTCGATTTTGGATTTGCAGTTATTTTTTGTCTGTTGGATATTCTGATTGCAAATTTAGACCTATCTGAAAAATCAAAAAAATTTGAAATTCATGCAGCGTTGTAATTTCCAGTTTTTATAAATTGTGAGTTTCATTCATTTTACAGTACCGATTCAGTGTTTTTAATCTGATTTCAAATGCTCGTCGGTGCCTCAAGGCAAACACTAAATTTAATTTTAAGTTAAAACATTGGCTAGTTTAAAAAATTTTTTTAGAATTATACCTCAAAAAATACGGGGAATTCCAGCAGCCTTTTTTGCTGTGATTTCATAACAAATAGCAAGTTGTAGTCCGATTTCTGCTCGCGATCAAACGGTCCACATGCAATGGCCAAATGAACCCCAGGCGTATCTGTTTCCTTAATGCACAGTGAATCGCATCCAGTCACTGATAATACGCTGTAATATTTGAACAATTTGAATTCCAGTAATTAATTATAAATTTAAATAAGCAAATCAACTTGTTATTAATTGTTTAAGTACGATTGCTCTAATTTGTCGTGTGTCGCTGCTTTTACTGCTTGTAGCAGCTCAAGAAATCCGCAAAATCCTACAATCTCTTTGTGGTTCCAGCTTTCTATCCAGGCAGTTCTCGGAAAAGTGTACTAGCTGGCTTCTAGTGAGTGGTTGCTTTTGGCAAAATAACACTATTCGGGTCACTTCTGAGAGTCTCAATTTTTTGCAGAAAACAACATAAGCGAAGAGCTTTCGAACCCAGGTTTTTTAACAACGTAGTACAGTGCTTTACAGTAGAAACCCAATCTCTAAAATTGCTGAATTTTAGTACTAAAAAATTATTGGATTGTAATCAAAAAAAGCTCTCGCCGAAAATTTTTAGATTTCTCAAAAATAATTAAAATTTCTCAAAGTATTAAGTAAACCTTTCTGGTGGTGCATTTTGAACAGCAATTCGGGCAACGACATGACCCAGTGTAAGATTTTCATATATCTCCGGTTTGCCACTATCTGTTAGCCAAAAAATATCAAAATCCAGCTTCGGCTGATTGTTTTTCTGCACTGTAATACTGAGGAAAGCAGTGGATTCCAGAGGCTGAGGTAGTCCATGATCACTGGCAACAATGAGCAGCTCATAAATAGAACCAGAAATTAGAATATTTGAATCAGCAACCCGTACAATACCCGTTTCACCGTCAATTTTGAATGGCAGCTTCAAATCAGCACGATTCTGCAAAATGCGAAATTCTTATCGCTGTTAGATTTCTACGGATCAAAATACTAGTATTTCATAACAATAAAAAGAGAAGCTACCACCAGCAAGTGCTTGGTAGAAAATAATTCCTCTACGATTCGGTCATTCGTTTTGATGATAAATTGGTACTAGCACATGCTCGGTTGTCAAATCAGTCCTTAGTCTTTGTTTAGAAACAAGCATCAAGAGAGCACAGTCTACTGTCTTGCACGAGTGCCATAGCCACTTGCTATTACTCCAGCGTTAATTCCCTTCGTACAAAGAGTAATAAGGAGCAGTACTGTTTTTTGACTCACCATAAAGACAACCGAAAAATAAGGTAATAACTAAAAGCAGCAGCAAATTTAGTCACAATAACATTCACATATTACAATACACATTGAGTTTCGTAAAGCATCAACCTTGGCAATTGAGTAAGCCACTCGTGCATTTTCACCGAGATCCGGATCCGTTGCATGGATTGTTGTCACCACATAATCTACGGATGCGTTCCAGGGCACTGTAGCATTGTACCTTGATTGACTAAACTCGGGCGCATTGTCGTTTGCATCCAGCACAGTTACGTTGACAAGCATTGTACCGGCCCTCAAAACAGATGAAATCGTTCGAAGAGTTTTCTTGTACTTCCGATTTTACCCTCATAATTTGGAAAAAGCTAAGCAAATTAAGAGTGAAGGTCAGCGAAAGGGAGGAATTAAAGTAACACAGTGGTTGTATAAGTGCCACAGTGCCGGTACCAAAACAGGGGTTCAGTGTTTCTTTGAAAGCTGTAAAGAAATAGTGTTACTACTGGAACTACTGCCTCTTAAGGTAGGAGAGTAGAGGGGAAAGTGGGAGAATACCGCTGGCAGCATTGCCAGTTAGACTGGAAAAAAGTAATTATTAAAAGATTGTGTAGCGGAATAGAAGCTCATGGCACCTACAATATACAGCATGCGATTATATTTTTTCGTAAAAACAACAGCGTTTTTTGATGCACGAAAAAATGCCGCACACCCGACGTGGTACCGAGACCACAGCGTAAAAGTAAATGATCAAGATCCAGAAAAAATGACATAGCTCCAGCTTAGTGTCAGAGGTTTCAAAACAACAATATTGTCTTGGTTATGGTACTAATCCAAAAGGCCTGATTCACCTTGCAGGATTTCCACCGTCCACAGCTTCAATAAGCAATTCATAACGGTCACGATATTCCCGATCCAACTGTCCATTCACAATCAAATCCACGTACAGCATCGAATTAATCCTTTTGCTTGATAGTCTGAATTTTTTTAAAAAAAATTACAGTAGTAACTCATCTCTTTAAGTTTTCGAAATGTAGGTGCGCAGCAGGTGATTGATGCGACCATACGCTTCGAATATGAGTGCTGCAGGTGGCCAATATATACTGCAGCTGGTCATTATGATCTCTGACTCATTTTAAGAAATTTACTGGAATTTTTTAGCCATTGTTTGTTTCGTTCCGTAGCTTTAATATTTCCTGTATTCGGGGGTGCGCTTTTTCAGTTTGGAAGTTAATTTCTAGCCAGTTAGCCTAAAATTGTGTAATTTTTCTCTACAGTGCCCCGAAATTCTAGGACAAAAGGTTCGGAACTGTGAAATTGAAATTCTGGAATTCAAGTTTAATAAAGTCCGAAAACTTGTAAAAATAAAAAATCAGCCCAAATTTGTTCTAAACTCGTAAGAAAGGAAGCAAAAACAGATATGCTTCGATTTCAAATTTCTGTTCTCGCGAATCGCTATGGGTTATGTTCCCGAAACTTCAATGTATACGTGTTTGTATGCTGGTGTACATGTTTCGGGAGCTATTATAACATGATAGAAAAATAATATAAGTTCTTTGTACGTAAGCAGGTAAAAATTTTCAAACAGGCTAACTTGAATGCATTGTTAACATTTCCCGAGACTATATGGTACTTGACTACAGAAAGCGCTGGCGAATCATTATCCGTTGCTGGAGGTAGCGAGATTTCCGAATTTAGCGCCGCAAATTCCGAAATTGCAACCTGTAACGAGAAAAGTGCCTTAATCGAGAGAAATCAAAGTGATAATTTTTATCGGCATAATACTTTGCAGAACGGCCCTCTGAAATCTATGAAGCAGCCAAATTTTCTGTGTGAGAAAAATGAGGATCTGATTTTATAAGCCATTCGGTTTTTGTTTTTCGAGAAATTTGTATTTTGTCGTTGTTTCGTTTGCTCTAATTTT